GGGGGGCCTTGCCAGCTCCCAGGGGCTGAGGAGCCAGGGAGCCACGACCCCCACAGGCATCTCGAAGAGGCAGATTCCCACCCCGCAGGGCTGTGGGCAGCGCCCCCGTGAGCGCGCAGGCGGCTGCCTGGGAGAGACCAGCAGGGCCGCCACGCCTGGCCATGTCCACTTGGGCGAGTTATAGACACACCCCCCTTCCGTGTTCCCACTTCATCTGCATGACGGAGTTAGCGTGTGCCTCCTTGGGCCCCATGACAGTGAGGTGACAGGTGAAGCTTTGCGGGGTCACGCAGACAGTGACGTAAGGAGGCTGCTCCTGCCCATGTCCTCACAGGGAGACTGTTCCGCTGCGTGTCCTTTAGGCCTCTTGAATTTTATCCCCCGCGATGCTGCGTATCATTTTAAAATGGGTTCCCCACGCCCCTTGCTACTAGCAAAGGCAGCCTGGCCTACGGGTGAGGGCCCGGGACCCTAATCTTGGCTCCACCCCCAAGTCACTCCTCACTGTCACCTACTGACGGATGATGACGCCCCCTGGGCACCAGCCCCGTGCCCGCCGCGAAGGGACAGTGGTTGGGGCTACTGTGCCTCACCTCACCTCCCTCCTGCCGGAGCGGCAGGTGAAGGCACGAGGAGGTGGGTGCAGGTGGTCGCGGCCCGGACAGTCTGGTGGCTGTGCCAGCAGCGGCGACCCCCCGGGACTGTGGGCCGGAAACGGCCGCCACGTGACACACAGAGGCGTTTGTTGAGGCCGTGGGTCGCGTGAGGGGGCGGCGGGATTTCTAGGCAGGGGTCCATCGCCTGGAGACAGCTGTCCCCCTTGGTGGAGCTTCCTGGGAGCCCCGCTGGGCGTGTGTGCGGTGCCGTGTGTCGGAACAGATGACTGAGGGCCGGGCAGGCTGCAGCAGTCAGGACCCGCGATCACTGCAGGGCGGCCCCGGGTGGGCTCCCCCAGGGCCAGGGCACCGGAGGGTCAAGGCCGGGGCGGGGAGCTGGGCTGAGGCGGTGACACTGGGATTGGCTCCCAGGTCCGTCTGTCTGTCCACCATTGGCGGGCGGCGTCCCCAGTCAGCTCCGCGGCGGGGCCTGCACATCCGCACGGGGTCTCGCCTTGCCCTGGTCCCCGAGCGGCTGTCACTGTTTACTTGGCTCCTAAGTCCCGGCCGGCGGCTTGGAGACAAGGCGGCGTCTGACTCAAATCACGTCCCAGAGTCTAGTGTGTTCCGTGGTGTCCTCCCCCTGCCGTTCCAGTGTCTGTTGGTTGTTAGAAACCTCCCCAAACTCAGGTGTAAAATAACCACTATTTTTTATTCTTATTCTCCTAATTCCACAAGTCAGGAATCTGGAAGAGCTGGGGGAGCTGTCTCTGTTCCACACGGCTGCGGCCTCAGCGAGGAAGACTCGCGAGCTGGGCCGCCCCCGGCTGAGGCTCCTGGGCCTGTGTCGCTCACTCCTCGCTGCCTCCGGGGCCTCCGCCAGGAAGCAGGAAGCCGGGTCAGGCCAGCTCTCACCTGCTGGCTCTGGGCTCCCGATGGGGGCGTCCCAGCCAATAATGTGGGCACCACGTCATTACCTTCTAAGACCTAGCCACATTCCCGTCCCGTTTTATCACTTACTAGCGAGTCACAAGCCCCCCAAATTCAAGGGCAGGAGGATTGGACACCGCCTCTTGAAGGGGGGAGCAGCAGCAGGGTCTAGAGGAGAATGTGTCAGGAGATACTGGATTGTTATTTTTTCTTTGTTCAAGGATTTATTTTTATTTATGCATACCAGAACAGGGGTACAGGCCAGAGGTGCAGGGGGTGAGAGGAACCCCCAGGACAGAGTGAGGAACAGAACAGGCAGATCCACTGAAACACACTGAGGGGAGCAGTGGGGAGACAGAAGGATCACCTCCCTGGCCGGGGATCGAACTCGTGCGGCAGTGGCTGTGGGTAGCTTCACAGTGCTGAGACTTAACACCTTGCGCCACCAGGGAGGCCTCATTTTTTCTTTTGGACCGCAACCTGCCCCCAGGCTTCCCTTGAAAAGGACAGTTTGTTACGTGGGTGGGGCGGGAGGGGGTGTCAGGAGCTCTGGCCCTATAGGGTTTTTTCCTGAGGGTCTCATGCAATATGAAGCCTGTGGAACAATGCAAATCAGGCCCTGCTCTGAGTTAGGTCCTTTCAGGGGCCCTCCTCTGAACAAGGTGACCTCGTGGCCCCCAGCTCGAGGTGAGGCTCGTGGCTGCTGAGGAACGCCACCAAGGCCACGCAGCTTCTGAAGAATTGGAATTTGAGCCCAGGAGCCTGTGCCAGAGTCCAGCACTTAATCATCAGGCCTCCGTACCGCCGAGTGTCCCCTGCATTCACCCACCAACACCCTGGCCTCGCGCTGCAGAGGGCCGGCCCCCCAGGGTGCCACTTGTGGGGGCTCAGAGGAGCCCACAGCCCTGACTCCCCGCGGGGAGGCTGGATTCCCAGCGGGCGGCTCAGCGCGTGCAGGGAGCAGAGCCTTGGGAGGGGCGTCCACGCAGGCCCGAGGACTCAGGACCCCGCTCGCGGCCAGTCCTACTGCTGGGGCGGGGGCAGCAGGGGCAGCGTGGGCTCAGAGCCCGCTGCTCACCGTCTGAACTGGGGCCCCGCTTCCAGCCGTTCCCCCAGGCCCGGTCTCTGCCACGCGTGACAGCGAAGCCGGCGCCGCGCTGCCATCTAGCGGCCGGCCCGCGCGCCTGCACCGGAGCTGGGGGGGCCGGGGCGCTCCGCAGCGGGGGCTCCCACGCGTGTCTGGGACCTGAAGCCACTGCTCCCCCCGACATGGAAAGTGTCACACGGGGAACTGCGAACTACCACGGGGTTGCTGTAATGAGGGATGCTAGGAAAAGGCCCTCCCTGCCCCGGGGGGTGGGTATGGGGTGGGGGTGCCAGACCCTGCCCGGGCTGGGGTCCCTGGAGTCACGTAGGTTGGCTGAGGTGCCCTGGAGCGTACTGGAGCCTGCCCTCTGGGATGCCGGGGCCGTTGTCCGGGAAGAGGTGCCTTGGCGGCTTGGGGGAAGCTGCCGGGAAATGCAGGCTGGAGAAGCCACTCGAGAGGCCGGAATGGGGGAGCGAGAGGTGCACCCGACCTGGAGGAGAAACCCCGTCCTGCTGGGGGGCGTCTGGCTCCTCACTGAAGGCAGGACGGAGTCCCAAGCAGCCGCCTCTCTCCTGGAGAATCCGCCAGGGTGGGTGCTCCCCGTGGGAGGCGGGACAGTGGGCAGATGCCCACACCCTGGTCTCGAAGGCCGCCTTGGCTCATTTAGTCACAGATGCATTTCTTAGCAAATCGCAGTGGAAACACCCGGTGCCCGGCCTCAGGCGCGCAGGTGCCTGCCCCTGCCTGAGCCCCCACCCTGCCCAGCTGCCCGGAAGGGAGATTTCAGTCTTGATTGACCTTCTGGCCCACCTCATCCTGAGGCAGGTATAGGCCCCTGCAGTGAGAGCTGAGTCTAAATCTCCCCGCATAGGCTAAGCCAGAGACAAAAGCAGCCATTATTAAAAATTAAGATATAAAAGCTTGGGCTTCATTCACATCAACAACCAAGGTAATATTTGAAGACAGGATGCATTTTCCTATTCTCTATGATCTTGGCATTATTTACATGTGTTGTGTGGGTGGTGGATGTGCAAGTCCAAGTTCAGGGTCTCCAAACAGGTCCCCTGAAGTTGGCAGTGGTGGGAGTGTGGACACAGGGAGCCGGGAGATGCCAGAGGTCAGGGTATGTGTGTGTGTGTGTTGGTGGGGGAGTGTGGGGAGTGTTAATTATGCAGAGTAGAGTGAGCCTTTACACTTGAGCTTGGAGAAAACAGCTCCAGGCTGTGGTCACTATTATTTGATTCAGCAAGGAAGTCCCTGGCTCACGTCTGTCCTAGAGGTCTGTGAAACCCCAGAAGGGAGGAAAATAAACAACTGATCTTTGGAAGCAGTGAAGATCCAGCGTGGGTGTCTTGTTTCATTTTACTTAATTCTTTTTTTAAAATTTTTTAAAAAGACTTATTTTTCATTTATACAAGAGCTGGGGTACAGGCCAGAGGCATGGGACGGCGAGAGAATTCACCAGAGACAGAGTGGGGAGCAGAACAGGCAGACTGACTGAAATACACTGCTGAGGGGAGCAGTGGGCGAGACAGGAGAGGTCTGCTGCGCCATGTGGGAATCTCCCTGGCCGGCTGGGAATCGAAACGGTGCTGCAGAGGCTGCGGACAGCTTCATAGCGCGGCGCTTAACCCGCTGCACCACCGGGGAGGCCCTACTTAATTCTTTTTTTTTTAAAGATTTATTTATTTATGCATACAAGAGCTGGGGTACAGGTCAGAGATGCCAGGGGTGAGAGGAGTCACCAGAGACAGAGTGGGGAGCAGAGCAGGCAGACTGACTGAAATGCACTGCTGAGGGGGGCAGCGGGGAGACAGGAGAGGTCTGCCTCGCCATGTGGGTAGCCCCCTGGCCGGGATCCAACTCGTGCTGCAGAGGCTGCAGATTGCTTCATAGCGCGGTGCTTAACCCCTTTAAGCCTCGCGCCACCAGGGAGGCCCCTACTTAATTCTTAACAAAGAGGAAAACCGGTCCACATTCGTGTAGACCTGCGCTGGTCAGTGGCCCGGGGTGAGGGACCCCCTCGCGGACCAGGACCTCGCGCCTGTCCCTGACGACTGAGGCGCTGCTGTTGGTGACAACAAATACAAACTGACAGCGCATTTTGCAGGGCACTCGGGAGCCGCAGCTGTACGGAACGTAGACCGAAGCGTTGACGGTGCTCCCCATGCCGGCCCGGCGGGTGCCGGGCTCCAGCGCGGGGCTCCCCGCGGGCCGGGCCGGGCCGGGCCGGGCCGGCGGCACAGGGCACGAGCGGCCGGGGCCGCGGCACCGCGGGCCCTTCCCGGAGCCGCCGCCAGGGGGCGCGCGCACGCGCCGGCCACGCGGACCTTCGCTTCGCGCTTTGGCCCCTCGCGCGGCCCGTCGCCCGCAGCCGCGGCGGGAAAACCCGACTGGTCGTCCGGGCGCCGCGTCCGTCAGAGCCGGCGCGCCCCGAGCCCGCAGCTGGGATGGCGGAGGCCGACGAGGCCGAGGAGCAGCAGCGATTCTCTTACCAACAGGTACGGGGGGCCGGGCCCCGCCTGCGCTGCGGTAGCGGCGTCTGGTCCGGGGGGCAGGAGGCCTCAGCCTGCCCTGCGGGGGGCGGGGGGCGCGGGGCGCCCAGCCGCTTCCGGCCGCCCGCGCCGCGCATGCGCCAGCTGCCTGCCCGACGGGGCGGGGCGGGGCGGTTCCCACGGCAACGCGACGGGGCCTCGACGGCCGCCGTGGGGGCTGGGGGCGCCGTGGGGACTGGGGGCCCCAGCAAGGGCCGCGCGCTGGGGGGCCCAACGGGGGAGCGGCCCCCTGGTTCTGTGGCGGCTTCGGTCTCGCTTCTCAGACGGGGAGCCCGGCCGGCGTGCTCCCCGCGCCGGACGCAGACGCCCCGCCGGCCGCCCTGCCGGGGCTCCGTCCCGCCCCGCAACCTGAGGGTCGCGCTCACTCCTGTGCCCAGTTCCCAGAGCGGGATCGGAGGCGCAGTGACTCGGGGTGGTTGCTGGTCGTCAGTTCTTGCTCTGACCAGCCCCGGGAATAAAGGGTGTCCTGAGCCTCCCCGGTGGCGCAAGGGGTTAAGCACCGCACTATGGGGCAGGCCGCAGCCCCTGCAGCGCGAGTTCCATTCAGGGAGCTACCCACATGGCACGGCAGACCTCTCCTGTCTCCCCGCTGCTCCCCTCAGCAGTGTGTTTCTATCAGTCTGCCTGTTCTGCTCCCCACTCTGTCTGGTGAATCCTCTCACCCCCCGCATCTCTGGTCTGTACCCCAGTTCTTGTATGCATAAATAAGTAAATCTTTAAAAAAAAAAAAAAAAAAGAATAAATAGTGTCCTGAGAACGCCGCAGCACCTTAAAGAGGGAAAAAGCAAGGATTAGCTCACCAGCCTCAAAAAGGAGTCTGAGTGACACATGCATTTCCTTCTGACAAAGTGTACATTTCAAAATCGTTTACCTACCTTCTCCCTTTATTTTTTATTTATTAAAAAAAGTTATGCAGGGGCCTCCCCGGTGGCGCAGCGGTTGAGCGCTGGGTTGCGAAACTGCGCGCGGCCTCTGCGGCGCCGGTTCGATCCCCGGCTGCTCCCCGGCCACTGGAGGAGGGTCCCGCATGGCGTGCAGACCTCTCCTGCCGCCCGCTGCTCCCCTCAGCAGTGTACTTCGGTCCCTCTGCCTGCTCTGCTCCCCGCTCTGGCTCTGGTGAATTCTCCCACCCTCCCGCGCTTCTGACTGTACCCAGTGCTTGTATGAACAAAACAAACAAACAAACCAGCAAACAAATAAATAAAGCATGCCTCTATTAAAAAAAAAAAAAAAAAAAAAAAAGTTATGCATACAAGAACTGGGCCAGAGGTGTGGGGGGTGAGAGGATTCACCAGAGACAGAGTGGGGAGCAGAACAGGCAGACTGACTAAAATACACTGCTGAACGAGACAGGAGAGGTCTGCTGCACCAGCTCCCTGGCTGGCCAGGATCGAACTCCTGCTGTAGTGGCCGGCAGTAGCTTTGCAGAGCTGTCTTTAACCCCTGCGCCACCAAGGAGGCCCCCTGGCTTTGCTTTTTCATTCTTCTGCATGGGTAAGTGATTTTTTCCCCAGCATCTAAAAGCGTTGCTGAGGAGCAGTGAGGGCCCCGCTGAGGTGGGTGAGCAAACCACAGAAGGGTCAGCTGTGCCCTCCCAGGCCTTCTCCTGTGTTTTCTTCGCACCCGAGTGCCTGGGGCCGGCCTGGCCATCTTGCAGCCCAGGCTGAGCCTTCTGCATTATTTGATTAACCACGAATGGGCAGAGTCCTGCTGGGTGTTTCATTTGCTCCCCAAACTCCTGGCTATGCCTTTGCTCTCTAGGAACTTGGCACCCCCCCAACACCCCGCATGGGGTAGCCGCAAAAAGTCGTGTGGACACTTTGCCAGTAACAGCCTGACGTGGTAATTCTTTATCTGTGCTTGACCTAAATCATAACCATTAACTAGGAAGTAATGTTTCTACGAGTCACCCTCCAGAGGGCCTCGTTAATTTATGAGCACACTTGAGAAGTCACTCAGCCATCGTGGGCCTCACTGAAGGAGCCGGGCAGAGCAAACCCTCACCTTGGTTTTAGTTTTTTAAGACGTAGAAAGCTCTTCCCTGAAAGCGTTCTGTTCTCGCCTCAGCGGCTGAAGGCGGCCGTCCACTACACCGTCGGCTGCCTTTGCGATGAAGTCGCGGCAGACAAAGAGATAGAGTTCAGCAAACAAACCATCGCGGCGATTTCGGAGGTGACTTTTCGACAATGCGGTACGAGGCTGGCCTTCCTGCTATCTGTAGACACCCCTGGGGGGGTTTTGCCAGGGAGGAATGTGTGAGTGGGTCCCCCAGCGTCTGGTACCCCCCGACAGAGAACATTATCGTGAAATTCGAGATTCAGTGATTTATGGAAGGAACTTTTTTTCCCTATTATGCTAACACCAGGTCATTAGCCTTTATTTTATTGTGTTTTAAACTGCCTGGAACATTAGACATTAAATTTTTTATTTCATTGCTTTATCACATTTTTATATTACCCGTAGCTTATTTGACAGCTGAACGTGTGGCCCTGGTCTTTGCTTGACTTCAAAGGAAATGAATGTCCTCACAAGCACTGACTTGTGGCAAAATTTAAAGCAAAGGGCTAGTTTCCAGGGAGCAAGGAGTAGCCACAGTTTCCAGAAGGCTTGTAATAAAGGGTAAAAGGTGCCAGAAGGGAGGGGGAAGACATACGGAGCACCAGATGCTGGGGCTCCTGGCGGCCGGGGTGTCAAGTGCGCTCCCTTTCAAAGGCCTTGTTGTCTCCACAGAACTTACTGTAGAAACAGCTTTCACTCCCTCCTTCTGAAACAGGATTGAGATAACAGTAACTAAATTGCCTTTCTTTCTCTTTCAGAAAATTTTGCCAGAGACCTTGAAATGTTTGCCAGGTGCGCGTGGGGTGCTGGGTGGGCAGGGCTGTGCGTGTTCCAGTGATTCTGTGTCTGGAGGGGGGTTTCTGGGGTCTTTGCTGTTCTTTTTTGTGCGTGTATATTTTGTGGAGTTGCATCTCTAAACACGGTACTGCAAGAAGAGAACTTCTGCTGTAATCACGTCCTTTCAGACCTGATTTGGCATTTGGGGAAAATTCCAAGCCTTTTTGTTAAACGGAAGTTACTTGGTTTCGGGTTGAAAAGGCATGAACAGCGTCTTCAGGGCTCTGAGTGTGCTGGTGTGTGTACCCTTAGGAACACTTCTGCAAGCTGGTGTGACGTGGGGAACCCCCGCACCTGCTGGTGCGCAGCCCAGGCCAGTGTGGCCTTAGCCAGCGTGTCTCCTGGAGAAGCAGCGACCTGCTTCTGCTGGCAGAGCTGTGGCTCTCCCAAGTGATTTTTGCTTCTCTCTCCCATTAACACCTCAGGGAATTGAAAACAGTCGCAACAAATTGCTTTTATGAAGCAATTTAAATGACTAGGGCCTGAAAGGGCCACAGCTTCCTCAACCTGCCTTTACTTGTATCCCAGGCCAGCCTCTCACCCCACACTTTTTACCTTGCTCCTGTTGGCTTGTGGTTTCTCAGATGAATTTTTTTAAATGATTTATTTATTTATGCATACAAGAACTGGGGTACAGGCCAGAGGTGCTGGGGGTGAGAGGATTCGCCAGAGCCAGGGTGGGGAACAGAACAGGCGGATCTTCTGAAATCCACTGCTGAGGGGAACAGCAGGTGAGACAGGTGAGGTCCACTGCGCCATGTGGGTCAGCTCCCTGGCCCGGGATCGAACTCAGGCTGTAGCCATGACAATGCTGAGGCTTCACCCCTAGGCCGTCAGGGAGGTCGCTCCTCCTCCTTTGTCTTAATTGACATTTATCTTCATAATATACCAGTGTGTTCTCATAACAGATCCCTGTTCTGACGCTTATCACTGAGCGAAATGGACACTCACAGGAAGTCAGCTTTGTCGGCTATGGCTCTGAGGTTTCCCTGCCACATAGTCTGCTCTAGAACGGGGACGACCAGGTCTGAGGAGGCTGAGGTTTGTGCTGCCTCAGGTGCTGTATGTAGGCTGGCCCAGGACCCTCACCAGTGTTTGTAGTATTGTTTCTGTGAGATAATGCATTTAAATTCTAGTCAGATTTCCCATAAACCCTGGAAAATTATCTCCCAGTTTGTTGTGAATTTCCTTTATTTACCTTTGAAAACCTAATATTGTTAATATGTTAGGGATCAAATGTGTTGAAGAAGACAGATATCCTCCAGTAAATACATTTTGCTAGGAATAGTCTTTGAAACTTACAAGGCTAACAGCTTCTAAAACTGCACCATTTTTTCCCAGAGTGATTTCTGGAGTCAGAGGTCTGGTCTGGAGTCTCTGACATGCAGTGGCCCCCTAGGAGAGTGTCAACACTCGGCGTGGCGCACACTCCAGAGGCCGGGCCGTGTGACAGAGGGGTGGGGCTGTCCTCACAGCTCCTGGGGCCACACAGGCACCCTTTTCTGCAAATAGCCCACTGCTCCCCTCACCTCCTACATCTGTGGCGCTCTGTGAGCACCGACGGCAGCCTCGCTCTGACAGACCAGAGTCACGTGGCGGCTCCTCGGGGCCTCTCCGCACTCCTGTGGCCTTGTGTCTGCAGCTGCTGTTACATCACCTTTTATCTCTCTCAGCCCTTTTTTTGATTGGGGGGGGGTCTCCTTTGACCTGGTCCCTATAGGCAGCTAATTAGATGTTATCTCCTGACGTGGGCGTTCCTTAGGACAGAGGTCTCTGTAGTCACGCTGTGGTGACACACGCATCTGCCCGTCTGGCAAACCGTGGAGTGTTAACTCAGCTGAGCCACTGAGTCTAACCGTGTGGCCGTACCTGTGCCTCAGCAGGTGCTCAGCGGGGCTGCTCCGCGTGGCCACTTTGCTCTGCCCTCAGGGCGCGGCGATTCTGGCTTATCCTGCAAAGTTTCTCCTTATTTTTGGAGGAAGTTAGAAATGTCAAGAAAGTATGTGATTAGAGTAATAAATTATTTTTTTCAAAGACTTATTTATTTATGCATACAAGAACTGGGGTGTAGACCAGAGGTGCGGGGGCCGAGAGGAGTCCCCAGAGACAGAGTGGGGAGCAGAACAGGCAGACTGACTGAAATACACTGCTGAGGGGAGCAGCAGGCGAGACAGGAGAGGTCTGCCGCGCCATGTGGGTATCTCCCTGGCTGGCCGGGGATCACACTCATGCTGCAGTGGCTGGAGATAGCTTGGTAGCGCTGTCTTTAACCCCTGGACCACCAGGGAGGCCCCAGAGTAATAAATTATTGACTAGAGCTTATTATCTCGAATTACCATTTAAAGCAGCAATAATAAAAAAATAAATAAAGCAGCGATAAGAGGACAGGGCTGAGCGTGAGTCCAAGTTGTGAGCAAGAAACAGACGCCAGTTTGAAGGGTACCCTTTGTTCTCCCTCGGCTGTTGTCGAGGGAACCCCTTAACTCCTTGTTGGGAACCCGCTGTCAGGAGACGCCTGCATGGCATTTCCTGTCACTTAGCTCTGGGAGAAGAGTGACAGGACCTGGGGGGAAGCTTCGTGAAATCCCTTGTTCTGCTCCTCACGTCTCTTCATGCCGTGGCGCGCCTTCACCGGGGCCTGCCAGTCTCTCTCTGCTAACGCCAGGCGCTGACCCACTTTTCTGGGGCGTTCACGCCACCACCATGACCGCTCGCGCCTCCCCATGCTCGTGCTCCTCCGGGCTCCTTGGGGGGAGGCAGGTGGAGGGGCTTCTGCTTGCTCCCGGCCTCTTTATTAACAGGCATCTGGGCTGAGAGCTTCATCTTTGTGCTCCCGGGTAAGCTTAACCACCTTGGTCGAAAAATCGGGTCTGCTTAGGGAGCCCTGCTCGCTCCCAGGCTGCCCGCGAGCTTCCGTGTTTCTTCCAAACTGAAAATAATGCCAAGCATGTTGATGAACCGTTTCTGCCCTTTCTCCAGACACGCGAAAAGAAGCACAATTAACACGGAAGATGTGAAGCTCTTAGCCAGGAGGAGTCATTCGCTGGTGAGAGACGAATGTCTTTCCTCACGCCCCTTCCCGTCAGGACACATCGTTCCCGCTTAATCACGCGCAGCGCCAGGCGATTCCCGGGGGCACCTTGCGTAAGAGACAGAGCTGGCTGGACGGTCCAGGCCTGTGATTTACAGTCTTTCCTTCATGATGAAGGATCTTGCTAGGCCTCCTCGAAACGTTCTGATCAGCACTCTCTGGAGTTCATAATTTGCCTTTTTTGTAATATCTGAAAACTTGGGTCCCGTGTTTCCTCCATGGCATGATGTCACAGCAGGTCCCAGGCTCGGTGTGGGGAAAGTCTACTTCTGGGGGCAGCCACAGGGTCCCTGGCAGCCCGGTCTGCTGGGAGTGTCGGCAGCTGGGTGTGCGGGAAGCGAGCACATTCTCTTCAGAGAAGCCTGGAGGTCGTCCTGACCAGGCCTGCCCCTCCGGGTGGTGCCGTGACCACTTCCAACGAGTGGCCAACCTGGGTCTGCGCGCGAGGGTCCTGGCTTAGTTCATCCCAGCAGTGACCCTGCTCTCGGCTTCTCCCCCGTGGGCGCCTCCAGGGGCTGCTGTTTCCTCTGCTCCATCGCTGTGCCTACGACAGGGCCTGGCACACAGTAGGTGCTCAGTGCACAGGAGTTGAATGAATGCAGTTGGGTAGCACTTGAAAGTTTGCAGGGGACGCTCATAGATGTTGTTGGACATCTGTTATCTAAACCTCACACCCGCCTGGCGAGGGGCTTTAGCGACTTACTAGCTGCCCGGAGCAGGGGAAGCAGCTGGAGTTAGCTGACGTCCCAGAGCTAGCGAGCAAGCTCTCTGGTGACAGGTGAAGCTAAGCTTCTAGCCCGGATGCGGTGCTGTTTCCACTGGGCTCTGCTCTGCTCTCCCAGTGACCCTGCTCCACAGTCTAAGTCAAGGATAAGAATCTGATCCCCAAGGAGAACAGCTCAGGTGCTTGGCGGTTCTGTGTATCAGCCGAAAGGACATTTCTCTCTTCATGTTTCCTACAGCATCATAATTGTTACTTGATCTGGGAAATGACCTACTTATTGGATGTTTGCTTCAGAGTATTGTTTTTATTTCGGACTTTTAATTTTTTTATCCAATAGAGCCTATTACTAAAGAGTTGAGCTAAATTTGACTAAATCCTCCTTGTGCCCGGGACCTTGTCTGTCTTACTTTGTGTCCCTAGAGTGTGGGACATAGAAGTTGCTCAATAAATTTTAGTTGGCTCCATTTAGGGGGCGGTTGACTACACTGCGACTGGCGTGCCTCCTGCAAGCGCCACGTGTCGTTCTTTGACTGACTCTGGGAACTCCTGTCTGGTAGGACATATGAGAGCAGCGAGTTCATTTTTGTCATTGATTCCTTCTTCCAGATAAACATTGTAAGCTGCATTTAACTCTAGTCCAGGGTTTTCCACCCAACGCCTTTGTGTGGAAGTGGATGGAAGAGGATGAAGGTTTTTCCCCCCTATGTTTATAAAATGGATTTATAGTCATATAAAAATATAATTCTTAAAATTTTTTTTTGTAGCTAAAATACATCACAGAGAAAAATGAAGAGCTCACTCAGTTGAATGTAGAAAGAAAAGCAAAGAAGAAAAAGTTAGAGAATGAAAACAGAAGCTCAGTAGAGCTCGCAGAGGCTGCAGGAGTGGAAAGTGAGGACTAAACTGGATGGCCACTCGGTGAAAGCAAACTTCAGCTGGTCGAACCCCCAAAATGCGTGCCGCCACCTGGGGACTCTGAGGGAGAAGTGGAGGTTTAGACAGGGCTGGGTGGCTCTCCACACTGTGTGCTCCGAGTCATTGGCTGCAGAAGCCCGTGTGGAAGAGACCTGGACACCCTTCGGCAAAATACCTCCTCGTCTGCGGGAGCGTGTCAGAAGAAAGGCGTGTTTGGGGGTGTGTGAGATGATAGCTGGCGTGGTTAATAAATTGTCTTAGCAATTTCATGTGGTTGACTTTAAAAACCTTATTTACTCTTTTATATAAGTTTCTCGCTATCTTCATTCCTGTAATGAGAACTTTTGGTGGTCTTTTGGCTTCACTTGCCATCTTTCTGTCGGACCATTTATATTTTTGATGCGCGGCCTTACGGCACATCTTCCAGAGGGCTGACTCCGCTTCCTGGGTTCTCAGGCACCTCTTCCCCGTTAAGCATCCCAGTTAGGGCTTCGTGTGCTCTGGCGTGTCCGAGGGGATGTCGATCATCCTTCGTGTTCCACCTTTGGTGGCACAGGGCAGGAAGGAGCTCTAGAGGGTTCTTTTTTTGGCAGACTTGCTTCCTCTGAGTCCTGGGAGTTCCTCTGAACTTAGCTGGCCCCGTTAACCTTATAACCAGATGCTTAACCATATAGAGAAGCTGATGTCTTTGAGATGCAGGCCTGGTGACATAGGTGGGGGCAATGTACATTTTTTATTATCACACCAGTTCCGACAAATATTTGGAAAAAAAGATGCGCTGATTTTTTATCACTGCAATTGCTTGGTGCTGGGAAAGTTTCCAAACATCCCCTTCTGCCCGTTGCAGCAGGAACGGTCCACACCGGCTCGTACTTAGCAGATACCTCATGGCCTCGGAAGGGAACTCAGGGCAAGCGTATTCCCTCTTGAACTGTGGGACTGTAATGAAGCCTGAGAGGCCACTCAGCCCCGCTGCGGCCTTCCTGACCTGTGTCCCGGGTTCTGCTCCAGGGACGCGCGCCCTCGCATGGACATTATCGGCTGTTAAAAGATCCTGCTGTATTCAGAGACGTCTCCCACCCTCCCGCTTCTGTCCAGGCCCTAGCTCTTTGGAATAAACAGTCTTTGTCTTTCAAGATAATTCAGTACTGAGTTCCTTTTAATCAAAGTTGCCTTTGTACATCTTTTTTTTTTTAATTTATTTATGCGTACAAGAGCTGGGGTGCAGCCACAGGTGCGGGGGCAGGGGGGGTGAGAGGAGTCCCCAGAGACAGAGTGGGGAACAGAACAGGCAGACTGACTGAAATACACTGCTGAGGGGAGCAGCGGGTGAGTCAGGAGAGGTCTGCACCATGTGGGTAGATCCCTGACTGGGGATCGAACTCATGCTGCAGAGGTTGTGGGTTGCTTCATAGTGCTGGGACTTAACCCCTTGCGCCACCAGGGAGACGCCGGTACATCTTTTTATTTTTTTATTTTTTTTTTTTTTTTTTTAAATAGAGGCATGTTTATTTATTTATTTGCTTGTTTGTTTGTTTTGTTTATACATGCACTGGGTACAGTCAGAAGCGCGGGAGGGTGAGAGAATTCACCAGAGCCAGAGCGGGGAGCAGAGCAGGCAGAAGGACCGAAGTACACTGCTGAGGGGAGCAGCGGGCGGCAGGAGAGGTCTGCGCACCATGTGGGACCCTCCTCAGGTGGCCGGGGAGCAGCCGGGGATCGAACCGGCTCCGTGGAGGCTGCGGGCAGCTTCGCAACCCAGCGCTCAACCGCTGCGCCACCGGGGAGGCCCCGGGTACATCTTTTTAGAAACACATATTTTTGCACAAAAATTAGAGTCTCAGCCCCCTGAGGGCAGGCTTTGGGGTGGTGAATGGCACCCCCGTGCCTGGGGCAGGCTTTATGGTGTTGAATGGCACCCCCCGCGCCTGGGGCAGGGCTGGCTTGGCCGCATGCTAGCGGGATAAGCAGGAGCCAGGCTTAGGGGCTGGGCTTGGGCAGCCTGGCTCGGACCAGGGGTTTGCAAGGTTTTGTGTCGAGGAGCTCTGCACTGGGGGAGTAAGGCTAAGGGTCGAGAAGCTCCGTAACAGCTGCTAACGTAAGCGCCTACTGTGCGTTCCACGCATTAAACACTTTACAAGATCCCGTTTGGTCCCCGTGACTCCACAGGGGCATAGTAGGTATGTTTCTACCCCCAATTTAGAGACGAGGAAATGAGAGGTTCGTCAAATGGCAAAGCCAGGATTTTGGTCCAGAGCCTTCCCTTGAAGTACCGAGGGAACTGCTCCCTGAAAACAGCCCGTCTTAGAAGAACAGGACGCCTCCCCCCTCGGTAGCTGGGAGCTCTCCTTGGCCACTTGTACCAGAAATTTCCCTTCCCATGCAGGGCGTGTCCTGCCCCGCTGGGTGGCAGCGGCTCTATGGGCTGGCAGTGGGGCCGCCTACAGTTCTGTGCTTCAAGCTGCTCAGTGCGGTGTGAGGCCAGTGAGCAAAATCTGCAAATGGAGCCACAGCTGAGCCTGAACTGCGTGACTTTCTCACCTGCAAGAATATTTCAGATATTGTAACAGCACTTGGAATTGTGCGGGCCAACAATGATCTTGGGACCAACAACAACAACAAAAAAAACCCCGAAATCAGGGGGCTGTGCAGAATGCAGCTGAGCGCCAGTCACCAGGTCACCAGGCGGGCCAGCTCCGCCCTCGCTCCTCAAACCAGCAAGCCTGGGGCTAAAGGCCATTTCACACCTGGATTTCCCTGTGAGGGTGGGAGCAGCAGCGGCCTGTTCACCCCAGAACAAGATCTCTGGTGAAGTCCTTGCCTCGAGTTGATTGGCGAGAGTGTGTCCCATTTACCGCTGGGCCTCAGCTGGTGGGGGGGGGGCAAGGGGGCTTCCTTTGTGGGCGTGCTTCTGACCCGGGACCGTGAGCCTGAGGGGGAGGGCGCCCCAGCTCCACGCTGCTCAGTGGCAACGGCGGCTCAGGGGCGCCCCAGTCAAGGCAGGTTCACCCGGGAAGAAAGGCTCTTGCACCTGACACACGAGTGGTCTTTCTCCTTTAGTTTCTACTTAATTCAAAAACAAAAGGTCCCGGGCGATGGCCTGCGAGCGCGAGGGCCCGGCAGCTGGAGACTCTGGGCCCCGGCCCAGCTCCCTGCGCGGGCTTCCTAGGGCTGGTTTGGGGATTCAGTCTGGTGGAGTCTGGCTGCACAGTGGCGCCGGCCTGGGGGCGGGGTGTGTGTGTGTGTGTGTGTGTGTGTGTGTGTGTGTTGCTCCTTGTGCAGCACCGTCTCTGCTCCGCCCCAGAGCAGCCCCTGCCTGCTGGTGTCACCTCCTTCTGGAACCTTAGTTTCGATACAGCCCGTGTTCTCACGCCGCAGACGGACTGACATCATCACACTTTCCCCTGTGAGAACTTGCAACTTTCATGAGGTGATTTATTTTTCTTTTTTCCATTTTGAAAAAGTTCCAAGGCCGAGTCCATAAAGTTGACCATTAAAAATGGATTTTTCTCTGAAATTACCAGATGAGTAGCAGACAAGTCATTTATCACCAGATTCCTGCTAGGAGCTTCCTAAGGGCTTGCAAAGACCAGAATATAATGTCTCACTCTGACGCGTCTCCAAGGGCATCTGTGGGCAGCCCGGAGGAAGCCCAGTCGTGGGAACCGAGCTGACGTAGCCGCCACTTGTCGGGAATCATGGCTTTCCAGACGCCTTCCAACTGGGCTCCTCAGAAATTTACGGGTAAAACAAGCAGTTTTTCCCCCTTGATCGAAACTTCTCCACTTTTCTTTTCTCTCAGTAGAGCAGTTTTGTCAGGGCGCTTATCTCAGCTGTTCTGTGCAAATAGGGTCAGCTGTTCTGGAGCATCATGTTAAGATTGGGATTATGTCTCTTCTGATGTTGGCTGAGCCAGATTTTTCTTTGCTTTGTCTTTGTGTGGTGGTGTCACTATGCTCAAAAAGCAAAATGATCATTCGATTACTTTAAGAACAAGGGTCACACTGTTAAGTCGCTTCATGCCGACGTACTGGTGAAAGTCACACTTTAAGCCACTGCCAAGAAGCCTGTGGCCTGCTCACTGGAAACCTCAGACAGCTCTTTCCATGGGCCAGAGCTTCAGGTTTGCTTTGTGGGGATGAGGCCTGCTTCCAGGTCTTCCAGATCACATCCAGGGTCAGGGCTGTGGCCCAGCCTGTGGCCTGCCCGCCCCGCCTTCCGACGCAAGGCCCTCAGGGTCTCAGATGCGAGCTCCTCCCCACAGATGCCTGCATGGAGAGGCCTTTTGTCACGGTGACTGTCCCCGTCCCTCAATCTTTGCACAGAAGTGACAGGGAATGATGGTGTACAGGCAGGAATGACACGGAGCAGGATCTCAATGACTCACGCAGACGGGTTAAGGGAGGCGTCAGAGTCCTGGAGCCCTCAGTGGCTTTTGCAGGTTTTTATTGGGATTTACCATGTAAACAGCAGGCCGGGGTGCTGGGGGGGCCGGGAGGCCAGCAAGTCTTCACTCTGGGCTCTCCGGCGTCCTCTGGTGGTCTCTGCTGCTCTGCTCTCTCGTGCTTCTGCTTCTGCTTCTGCTGGCGTCCCCATGACGCTGCTCTTAAAAGCCCAGTCTCAGCCCAGGTGAATCCCTTCTACCTATGCCCACACCCTACTCCAGGTGCCCGCCATCAGGCACGCATTCGGGACCACAGGGTTCTGTCATCTATCCTAATGGCGGGAGGGCAGAAAAGCCTGATGCTTTTTACCTCACCCTACAGATGGTTAAGAGGAAACTTCTTTTTCTGCGATACAAAGCAGAACGACTGTGGGGCCTCACGTGCGCCAGGCTCCTCCTGGTCTGCTCAGATGAAGTTAGGGCTAAACAAGTCACTGTTTCAAAAGCATAATTAAATTTTAATTCTCCCCACAGCTCTGAAATCCTTGCTTGATTATATTGTTTATGACTCTAGAATCACAGGCTCTGGCGGTAACTTCCTGTGTGGGGGTTTTAGATGCTGAACTTTCAAGCTTAGGGATTTATACCTGGACTCAGGAAGTTTCTGAGGATCAGGCCTAATAGTGGGAAGCCCGGCAAAGGCTGGCTGGAGGACACTGGGATATTATTCTCTGTGGACACCGGGGAGCAGACTCACGGAGGGTGACTGCTGATGGCTCGTTCTGTTTTCCACAGAGCTGAGCTCATATTCGTAATTACCAGCTGAGTAAAGTGTAATGTGATGCAGGGGCCTTAATAGCATCCACATTTCCAAACACAGCAGCTGAGAGACCAGTAACTGGGTCAGAGCACTGGAGGAAGATGCCTGCCTGAAAGGGCAGCTAGGCCTCCAGAACTTTGTCTTTTAAGATTTTTCTAGAAGAACAGTATGCTCCTTGTGCTTCAGTTTCAATGGGAATCCTGCAGTCCTTTTTTTTTCTTTAAAGGTTTATTTATGCATACAAGAGCTGGGGTGCAGGCCAGAGGTGTGTGTGGGCGAGAGGATTCACCAGAGACAGAGTGGGGAACAGAACAGACTGATCTACTGGAACACACTGCTGAAGGGAGCAGCGGGAGACAGGAGGGGTCTGCTGCGCCATGTGGGTAGCTCCCTGGCCTGGGATCCAACTTGTGCTGCAGTGGCACGAGTGCTATGTCTTAACCCCTTGTGCCACTAGGGGGGGGCCCCCACTTTGCATTTATAATTAAAGTTGTGACAAAAAATTCCCGTTTGTCTTGTTAAAAGAATTCTAAGCTGGAAGAACGCTAGACTACGTCTGGTGGGAGTTCCTGTAACACGGCACTGGAAAATCCTGAGGAAAATCTAGAATCTATTTATTAGCCTGTTAGTTCACTTCCTTGTGACTGCGCAGGTGTCTGATTTATTCTGAGCAGAGTCCACGTCGAGGGTCTCTGACCTGAGTGCAGTCGCCTCCCTGAATGCGGCTTCCCAGCGGGATGGGAAGGCCACAGGCCAGGGGAGGGCGCTCAGATACATCATTGCCAGGCAGGGCCCTTAAAACCCTCCAGTAATAGTCCACCTAAGTCAAAACTACAAATAACATAAAATGGAGAAATACCCCGAAGGCAAAAAAAAAAAAATTGGATAATTAGGAGATTAAATAGCTCAACAATCTGGTTAGTAAAGGCACATTAATAATTCTTGTAATTAACGCAGTTTTTTTTCCTTGCAGACTACTATTATTTTATCCTTTTCTCTCTGGAAAATGAAAAATCCATTAGTTTTTTCCTTTTGCTTTTACCCAGAAATTAAAGCTTGGTAAGTGGTAATTAGCACCGCTCCTGTCAAAGCCAATTGCCTAATGGGGAGCGACATTTGACTGGAGAGAATGGGAGAAGGCTAATGCAGCGCTCATTAGTCCCAGCTGCTTTCTTTGACATTCTTTTCTCCCGCCCTAAGAACGGGCATGCCCTGCTCTATTTTTAGACACACCTCTGTGCTGCCATTCTAGAAGGCCCGGAGGCAGGGGTGGGGGTGCGATACAGCGTGTTTGCACCCACTCCCGGGCTAGTTTTCGGACTGTCTTTGCCCTGTACACCCCTGGAGCTTCTTCAGTATGCACCGCCTTTGCCCCTGCCCCCACCTCTCTGCCCCTGGGAAAATGGAAGCCCCCCACCCGCTGAGGCTGTGCCTCAGACCAAAACGTCTTTAACCTTTTCAACCGTGAGGCCTCAGGCTCCCCTTGCACCTGCTGGAACTAAGGTCCCCCAAAGTTAGCCTCAACTGGGATTTGTCTGACTGCAACCCCATCGCCGATGCAGCGTGGGTGCTCGGTGGGATCGTTCGAGTAGAGACCCCAGACCCAGGCCAGCCGACAGAGCTCGGCTGTGCCGGCGACAGAAGTGATTTAGGGTATTTAATGCAGGAGGACAAGGGGCAGACGTCCGTAGGAGGACGAGGCGAGCAGCCATTCTGCATTTCCATCCCTGACTGCTGACCGCGCAGCCGCCCGGGGCTATTTTTATTTTTTTTTATTTTATTTTAAATAGAGGCATGTTTTATTTATTTATTTGTTTGTTTGTTTGTTTGTTTTGTTTATACATGCACGGGGTACAGTCAGAAGCGCGGGAGGGTGAGAGAATTCACCAGAGCCAGAGCGGGGAGCAGAGCAGGCAGAAGGACCGAAGTACACTGCGGAGGGGAGCAGCGGGCGGCAGGAGAGGTCTGCGCGCCATGTGGGACCCTCCTCTGGTGGCCGGGGAGCAGCCGGGGATCGAACCGGCGCCGCAGAGGCCGCGGGCAGCTTCGCAACCCAGCGCTCAACCGCTGCGCCACCGGGGTGGCCCCCGGGGCTATTTTTAGACACATCTCCTCTAGAAGGCCGGGGCTGGGCAGGCAATCACGCTGTCCACGCAGCAGCCTCCTGCGGCTGGAGTTCACTCCGACTTACTACACCAGCTTAGCGAAACCAGTGATCTGGGAGTGTGGGCCTGAAATAAGTGGGGACACACTGGATGAAAACTGGAGGTCTGCGTTTGGAATCCACCCCCCATCTACCCCCGCCCCGCAGCCCTGACAGGGCAGGCCGCTGCTCCTTGCCGGGCACAGCGCTGCCCACGCAGGACCGACACAACCACAGCTGCCTCCTTGCTGTTCTGTGAGGCTCGTGTGTGTGGTGCCAGCGTGTAACTGCAAACTGCTAGAAAAATCCTCCATTGGCATCAGTGCCTCTCCGGGGGCTTGTTAATGTGCGGGGATGCTTTTAGTTGTCTCGGGGTCTGGGGATGGCCCTGGCGTCGAGCGGCCAGCCACGGGACCCGCCTCCCTGCCACGGAGAACCGCCCAGCACCCACCTGGCCGCTGAGTGTCACGCTGGACACACACGTGGGTGGAGACCTGTCCCAGCCATCTCCGCCTGAAGTCTAATTGTCTTATACATAGTGTATTTTTTCCAGTTTCAACGTTCCCTGGATTTTTGGAGAATGCAGCTACCTTGTATGGATATTTTAAAGTCCAGAACTTCACTGTTTTGAAAAACCCTTTACAAAGAGCAATGCTACTTGTGGTCTTCAGTTGTGACGCTGCGGCACACCCACGTGAGCCTGGCAAACTCACAAGTTCATGTGTAAGTGCAAGTGCCTGACTGGGCCCAGCCCCTCCGGTGCAGCCACGCCCGGCACCGATCACACAGGCCGCTGCATTGAAGTTATTGTCCTTTGTGTTTTCCTGAAATATCATATTTGGGGTATTAGGCTGAGGCTTTTTAAAACAAACACTACATTAGAACTTTACCAAGGAAAGAACTTTACCAAGGAAAGAACTCCCTAGAACTCAGGATCCGATGGGCCTGGCCTACTTCACACGCCACGAAGAGGAATGGGTGTCGGTGTTTTTGAGAGAACATGTGCAAGTTAGCAGCTCCAGCTCTCAGGATATGAGGAAGACACGCCAAAATAGCCTATCGGAGAAGGAAATACTGGGGCCTATTCGAGAGACCCTGACGGTGTAAGGCATCTGTGACGGGATGCTGAAGAGCCCCCAGCATCCTTCTTGAGGTTCGCAGAGGCAGCGGTGGTCTTTGCTTTCTGCACCCCGCCCGCCGCCCAGGTTATGGTGTTTCTTTACTTGTTAGTCACTGAGTCTCTCAGCAGCATTCCCGTTTCCTACAGGCTCACGAAAGTCAACTGATGCTCTCTGTCCTGCAAGGGAACCGAACTATGGACAGCAAAACCAGGAGAACATGTCTGTGGGGAAACAGATGGTTTATGACCCAGAAGTCTCTGGTCTGCACGCAGTGAGACTTAGTCATATCTCATGGACATCAAGTTAATGACCTTTTATACCCCCTGCTGACGAAAGATATTAGAAAGCCAAAGAGTTTCACAGTGGTAACGTATAATTTCACAATACTGAAGCAGATATTAGAAATGGGGAATTAGACCCTGGATCTCCCTGTGGTCTGCAAGCTTAATATGTGCCTTTTAACAAACAAACAAACAAATCACTAACCGGGGAAGCAAGCTTGTGGCCATGACCGCGCTGTTACATTCCTTTCTCCATTAACTGCATTTAGAGCTCTCCGGGTTCCGTGACCGTGAAACAGGACGATTTCTTTTCACTGCCCTTCACAACTGCTTATTCAGAGATCACAAGGCACGGCAAGAAGAGCTGGGCCCTGCTGCTGCAGCTGTATGACTCAGACGAGCCGGAAGGCCAGATGCCGAGATCTGGACTAGCGTCTGGGGGGGGCGTGAAGCCAGTCTTCCAGAACAGGGCCTGAGGCAGGGCGAGAGGAGTGTCTAAGTAGCAGAAAGTGCTAGGCCAGAGGGATTTCCTGATCACAAAGAACAAGGTCAGAGGGTTTTCTCTGGCTTTTGTGCAGCTAAGTGGAGTCTTGTCTGGCCCGTTTGGGGTGCTGCGGGTCTCCGGGCAGGGAAGTCTTCCTTGCCGAAACATTCCTGAGAGAGTGCAAGCTCTGTATCTGCTGGAGGCGCAGGGAAAGTTCCTGATTACAGGCCTGTTGAACAGTTTCTGTCTTCTTTATGTCCCAGTTCAAAGCAACAGCCAATGCTTTGGGGTCCTCCTTGGTAACCAGCTGTGGCAAGAACAAGAACCACTGAGAACCGCTACCTCTGCTCTGCCTGCTGCCGCCCGGTTTTCTTTAGGGGAGTGACATTAGGCCACGTCAGTCAGGGCTTGTCTTTATGCTGAGTCGCCAGGCTCCTTTCACATTAAACTGTCACGGGCCTTTCCTTAGAATTCACCACTAGCAGGAAAGGATCTTTGGAAAGAAGTTTACCTGGAGCAACATTACGTCAGTATAGCTCCCGTCCCTCCCAGCCACCCCAGGGAACCGACGGACAGGGACGGGGCGAAGCGGCAGCACCCACTGCGCTGGCTTGTGGCTCCCCATGACGGCTTGTGGCTCCCGGGTCTTGGAGCCAGCACGAGGCCACCCCGTTAAGTGTGCCCCTCCCCATGACATTTACGTGTCGCCCACTATGCATCCTCTCCAACCACTGCCAGAAGCAGAGGCCACCTCAGAGGCCTGGGTCCTGCCACCCCCGTCAGGCTTAGTCACCACATTCTCCACTTTGGACGGAGAATGTCACCTGACGGTCTGAGGGAGCACGTCTATTTTGGGTTAAATGAGATGTCTGCGAGTGCTTTGGCATGGAATAGGCAAGTTGGCAGCTCGGAGTCAGGATGTGCAGAGGGGAGGAAAACCCCCACATGCCTCTGCGGCACTGACTACGCCTCCAGGGGAAGCTGCTTTTCGTGGCTCAGGGTCCCTGGTTCTCGCCCACCTCCAAATCCTGACTAGACAAACTCAGCTCTGGGGCAGGCTTCTCCTTCAGTGCCGTCAGGATCTGGCTTCTAAGTGTGATTCCCGAGGAGCCCTCTCTGCTCACGCCCACGTCAACCGTGTCCATCTCGCTGAGGTCGGCTCTGGACTCTGCAAAGCAGATGTGAGAGGGGAGCTCAGCACACGGATGAAGACAGGGCCACGCCACAGCTGGCCAGAGCAGTTGGGCAAGACAGACAAAGCCACTTCAGAGTGCCGGCAGCTGTGGCGTCAGTTTTTGGCCTTGTTATGAACAGCGGGTGCCGTCTCCAGGAAGGGCTCTGTGGGCCCCGAGTTCTTGCTAGCGCTCCCCAACCTGAGGCCTACCTTGCTGCTGTGACAAGATGGCGCCCTCCTTCTGCAGAGCCTGGAGGTAGAGCTCCAGGAGCTGCTTGGACTGGCGGGCTTCCTCTCTCTGGTCCAGCACCTGCTGGAGGGTGCCCTGCAGCCCCTGGACAGTGGCACAGCTCTGACACAGCTCCAGGGCCAGGTCTGAACACGGCGCATCGATGAGCACCTGACAAACAGTGTGGACAGTGAGATGCCAGGGGCCTTTCTGCCCCCAGAGACTGCTGAGCTAGTCCCAGGTACCTGAGTGTTGGGAGAGACCCCGCATAGTGAGCAGAAGGGCCTTGACCTGAGTCCCTAAGGCATGTGAAAACACATGCGTCTCGGAGGAAAACCTCTGAGTGACAGGACCTGGTGTTGAGTGTCACTGGTGAAAACGACAGGCTCAGTGTGTCCCCATTCACACCTGAGGAGGCTGAGGCTGAGAGAGGCTTGGGATGGTGTATTTTTCTGTTGAAAAATTAGGCAATGGATGCCTTCGTCCTTCATTAAAAATGAAACAAAGGGCCTCCCTGGTGGCGCAGCGGTTGAGCGCTGGGTTGCGAGGCTGCCCGCAGCCTCTGCGGCGCCGGTTCGATCCCCGGCTGCTCCCCGGCCACCGGAGGAGGGTCCCACATGGCACGCAGACCTCTCCTGCCGCCCGCTGCTCCCCTCAGCAGTGTACTTCGGTCCTTCTGCCTGCTCTGCTCCCCGCTCTGGCTCTGGTGAATTCTCTCACCCTCCCGCGCTTCGGACTGTACCCAGTGCATGTATAAGTAAATAAAAACAAATAAATCTTTAAAAAAAAAAAATACATAATTAAAAAAAAAAAACAAACAAACCCTGATGTTAAAAACCCACTTGTTCAGAATATAAAGGAGGTGTAGGATGATTTTCACAATGAATCAAAATGATTTTTTAATTTAAATTAATTAGTTTATTTATGCATACAAGAGCTCGGGTACAGGCCAGAGGTGCAGGATGAGAGGATCCACCAGAGACAGAGTGGGGAGCAGAACAGGCAGATCTACTGAAACACACTGCTGAGGGGAGCAGCAGGGAGACAGGAGAGGTCTGCTGTGCCATGTGGGTAGCTCCCTGGCTGGGGATCAAACTCGTACTGCAGCGGCTGGAATAGGTTGATAGTGCTGAGACTTAACCTCTGTGCCACCAGGGAGGCCAAAATGAGGTTGTTTTAAACAAGTTTCTAACTTTTTAAAATACATATTCATAGTTTTAAAAAACTTTAAAATTTAGATATGTTGACAGGTAACATTGTATTACTGTCAGATGTATTGATACAAGATGATCTGATGTTTATATTTACTGAGAAAGGATGAGTCAAGAAGTCTAGTTAATATTCATCATTATACAGTTATAGCCTTTAAAAAAAAAAAAATCTACCCTCAGGGGCCTCCCTGGTGGCACAGGGGTTAAGTCTCAGCACTATCAAGCTATCAGCAGCCACTGCAACAAGAGTTCGATCCCCGGCCAGGGAGCTACCCACATGGTGCAGCAGACCTCTCCTGTCTCCCCGCTGCTCCCCTCAGCAGTGCATTTCAGTGGATCTGCCTGTTCTAATCCCCACTCTGTCTCTGGTGAATCCTCTCGTTCCCCCTGTGCCCCCACCCCCCCCCCCCCGCCACACTTCTGGCCTACACCCCAGTTCTTGTATGCAAAAATAAATAAAACAAATCTTAAAAAAAAAAAAATCTACTCTTGGCAATGTCCAAATATACAAACAGTATTATAAACTATAGTGCCCATGCTGGATTTGTTTTTTTTTAAAGATTTATTTATTTATTTATTTATACAAGCACTGGGTACAGTCAGAAGCGCGGGAGGGTGAGAGAATTCACCAGAGCCAGAGCGGGGAGCAGAGCAGGCAGAAGGACTGAAGTACACTGCTGAGGGGAGCAGCGGGCGGCAGGAGAGGTCTGCGCGCCATGTGGAACCCTCCTCCGGTGGCCGGGGAGCAGCCGGGGATCGAACCGGCGCCGCAGAGGCTGCGGGCAGCCTCGCAACCCAGCGCTCAACCGCTGTGCCACCGGGGAGGCCCTGGTAGGTAAGTATTAACCCCATTTTACAGGTAAGGTGAATGAAGCCAGAGGGATTATAACTTCCCAAGACTCACAGTCAGTCCATCCTGTGGACACCACATAATTGATCCCTGCTGGTCCCCTTCCTCCCTTCCTCCCGGCTCTGGCTGCCTGCCATCCCCGACGGAGCTGCCTTTCTCTCCTCTGCCAACTTCTGCGAGCACCCTTTAAGCAACCCAAGCTCTTCTAGGGAGCCCGGCTGTCCAGGCTTGGGCTAACTCATATTCTGACAGCCCTATTGGTAAGGCCTATTTGTTCCTCATTCTAACATGAATCATTACAGGCTATCCTGCTGGGATGGGGGGCCATGCAACACTTTTTTTTTTAAAAGATTTATTTTTATTTATTTATGCATACAAGAACTGGGGTGTAGGCCAGAGGTGCAGAGGATGAGAGGATTCACCAGGCAAAACAGGTGGATTTACTGAAATACACTGCCGAGAGGAGCAGCGAGGAGACAGGAGAGGTCTGCTGTGCCATGTGGGTCAGCTCCCTGGTTGGGGATCGAACTTAGGCTGCAGCGGCTTCTGATAGTTTCATAGCCCTGTGACTTTAACCCCTACACCACCAGGGAGGCCCACTTTTTTGCTTCTTAAAGAAGAAATCAAACTTGCTCTTGTCTTCTCTGTCTGGAACACTCTGGCCCATCCTACCCATGATAGGCCCTATCTTCTCCTTCAGCTCTTAGTTTGATTGTCACCTCCTAGGAGCCTATCAGTGTTTATCAACCATGCTTCTGATAATTTTATTCTACCACTAAGCACACTGCACAACGGCACTGGTGTCAGTGTTTTATAGCACTATCTGGAAGAGCAAAACTGAAGACAACCCAAATGTCGACCAGAGGGGGAGACTCGATAATCATGGTACATCTCTGAACTGGAATACTATTCAGTGGTGAAAAAGAAACAAGGACGCCTTTTATATACTCACTGCTCCCCTTCCTCAGGAGTGTATTTCAGTCAATCTGTCTGTTCAATCTCTCTGTCCCCCACTATGTCTCTGGTGAATCCTCTCACCCGCCACACCACTGGCCTACACCCCAGTTCTTCTATGCAAAAAAGAAAATAAAAATAAAATACTGTATTAAAAAAGTACAGTAGATATACTCTCATTTATGGCATAGAGGGAGGGAAAAATGTTTGCATAAAAATCCCTCTGGGGTGGTAAACTAAGATAAGTTATCTTTAGGAAAGGAACATTTTCCTGTATATCCTTCCTGTTTTTAGTTTTATTGAGCTATAATTTACATATCATATGCTACACCCACATAAAGTGTAAAGTTCAGTGGGCTTTAGACTATTCACAAAGCTGTTCCATCATCACCAACCCCAAAGAAACTCTGAACCCATGAATAGTTACTTCCTTTTCTCTCAAGGATTCCCTAAACCCCAGCCCTAGATAACCACTAACCTACTTTCTATCCCTACAGATTTGCATATTCTGGCCACTTCACATAAGTGCAGTCATAAAGCATGTGGCCTTTCATGTCTGGCTTTACTTACCATAATATTTTCAAGATTTAGCATGTTGCAAAGGAATGAATACTTCATTCCTTTTTACAGCCGAGTAATAGTCCATTGTTTAGATATGCCACATTTTATTAATCTATTCATCATTTAATGGACTTTTGGATTGTTTTCACTTTTTGGCTAGCTGTATATATTTCTCTACCTCTTAGATGTTGAATGATGCGACTGTATCCATAGTATTTATTCAAAATAAATATACCAGCTTCAGGGGTGTCATTCTCAGTTTCTCACCCTGTCTGATAATCTTGTCTCGTCTGCCTCCCTTCATCAGAAGGTGTGTTTGTTAAAGCAGGGACTGTGTCTGGCTTGTTCCTCCAGTGCACAGAACTGTGCCAGACACAGGGCAGGTGCTCAGTAAATATTCATGACTTAACACATACTGTATTTCTCCAATTTTACTGGAGAAGAAATGCAAGCAGAGACCAAATTACTGGCCTAAAGTCCTAGTGGCAGAGCTGGGGCTTCATCCGTCTACAATGCCACATCTCTGGCAGCACACATTCAACCCCCACAGGCACAAGCAGTTCTGTATTTTTAAAAAAAAAAACTGCTGTAATTCTGATGCAGGGCGAGGACTGGAAAATTCCTACTCTAGGGGAGAGAATTATAAGATGAAGAATCTGGGCTGTCACCTAAGAATTATTTAAAAATTAAGAGATCATGAGATCATGATGACAAGAAGCCTCGCCAGAGAAGCGAGGCTGCGGGTTGTCGGGGGAGACCTACCTGGAGGTCCTCCTCTGACAGGAGGATGATGTTGGAGAGATCTTCTTTCAGCTGCCTGGCCACATTCTTCCACTTTAGCCCTGCTGCGCTGTCTGTTTCATCCACATCAAAGGACTCTTGGGAAACCCACGCTGTTCCTCCGTCTGATGCATGGGGGAGAATGCGTCACAGCCAAGTTACCCTGAAGCACTGTTCCCCGCCCCACCCCCATACTTTGCCCTTGCGGATGTCCGTACATCCTTCCAACTGACCATTTAGCTTCTTTCCTGTGGTGAAGGGAGCACCTTTTTCTCACGGATTCATGGAAGAGCCAATCCCTATTAGGACATAATTTTCCCTGTTCTTCCATTTTTGATTTATTTCCAAGTGAACAGCTGTTTCCTTCTTGGAAACGCAGCCACTGAAACCTAAAGTCTATAGTTCGTATCCAGGATCCGACTGCCCTCCCTAGAGGCTGGTTTTTGTGTCTCCGCTGTCTTCTGGTTTTGCGTACAAAACATTCCTTCTCATCAGCACTTCCCCTGTGCTGGGGGCTGGTCCCCATCCTTAATTGGAGGCGCAGGCACAGCTGACTGTCCTTGAGGCCCCACACAAAGGTGGCTGGCCGGGAGGGCCACTGCTGAGGGAGCTTTCCCTGCTTCTTTTCAGCTCTTTGTCGCTCAAAAATGTTGCTTCCCTTCATAGTGCCCACGGTGATGATGGTGACAACTGACACTTACTGCGCATGCCAGGCAAGACCTAGATGCTTCCTGTGAATGGGTCTCAACTGGAAGAGATTTTGCCCCCCAGGAACATCTGATGATGTATGAAGGCATTTTTGGTTGTCATAACTGGGGTGAGAGGATGCTACTGGCCTGGGATGCTGTTAATATTCTGCAATGGACGGGATAGCCCTGATCCTGACTCCCAACAGAGAATTCTCAGTCAGTGTTGAGGATCCTTGGTTTGACATGTACCATGTGACACTATCTTCACAACCCCCAGTGCTAGATCCTGTATTATTCTCAATAACTAAGAAGTTAGGTAATTTGACTGGTCGATGACAGAGCCAGGATTCAGACCAGGATTCAGCCTGCCTCTTCCTGTGGTGCTGATCTCTCTGCTGTGTTGCATTTCAGTTGTCTGTGAGTTACCTGAGCACCGAGCCCATGTTTCACTCATCTTCACCCTTAGACTCAGCACCATGCCTGGCAAACCGAAGGTGCTAAGTAAATGTTTGTTACTGATGTTAAACGGCCAGACAGACAGCAGCTAGATACCCACAGGTAATATGAATCAGAATGGGTGCTGCGTTGGATCTCACGCTGTACAGATCATTTTCTATATAGCCAGTGTTTCTTACCTGAATTGTTGTATGCCCACTTCTCATTACCAACCAACGCCACAAACTTAGTATTGGAAGGCAGACATAGGAAGTAATCGTCATCGTCCACTATGGTGCCATCCTCTGCCAGGACCAGGGTGACCGGTGCCAACGACTTGTCAATGGCCAGAATGTCACAGGCTAGGAAGAATAAAATATTTGGTAATTGACAAGTATCCACAAGAAAATCACATCTGTCCTTGCATTCTCAATAAGTGTGTCCCCAGAGCCTAGAAAAATTCCTGGTAGGTAATAACTACAATAACAACCCTAACTATCAGCTAATACACCTCATGCTATTCCAAATGCTTTTCATATACAGTATTTAATCTCAAAACAATCCTAGAAGGTAGGTACTATTCTTATTCCGATTTCACAGAAGTTCAACCCAAGACTCGGTGAAGTTAAGCAATCTGTTGAGGGCTACTCAGTAAGTGAGGGAGTTGAGAGTTCAACCCAGTCTGGCTGCTGAAGATGTGTTTCCCGCAGCTATCCCACACCCACATCAGGAGGCACTCAAGTGTTTACTTGAATGAACAAAACAAAGTCTGATTTGAGTCCATCTCCTCGTTTACTTATTCAGTGATCATCTTAAATTGTGAAATGTCAAAAAGAAGAACAAGGAAATGCCTTTTGTGTTTTGTAGTATCTTCCTTTGCAGTCTTTCTAATCTATGGGTAAGAATAAGACAAACAGAAGTGTGCATCAGTAGCGTTTTATTTTTATCCTCACTGAGAAGAGGTTTCTCCAGAGCCGGTGGGCACCACCACAGCTCGTGATGAGTACGCCTAAAATACTAAAGGGGCTAGAGAAAGAAATAGCCAAGTGACTACACATTTTGACAGGCAACGATGTCTACAGCAAGCCCTGTAAAGGCTGAGCTCCTGAGAACAAAAGCACTTACACGTCACTGTGCCCAGGGCATCCAGCCAGTGTGCTGAATGGGCACTAATTTAAGTATCCTAAAGCCAAGAAAACGATGCAAATATTTATATGGCAAGAAATATGCTACGAAAGCGTGTACTGCTTCTGCCCCTGGGCCTCTGAAAGGCTTCTGGCTGAGGTTTGCTGGGGACTGGTGACAGAGAGCAAGCACCCACGATTCCAACACACACTGGGACCCCGTGCCTGGGGCAGGCTCCCAGCCCAGCCCGCTGAATTCCTTCGGGTGACCAATTTATTGCACAGGTTAGTAACACTTGCAAATCATTTAAATATATCTTTGAAAGTCCCAACAATCCAGCAAAGCGGGGCTGGAGATGGTACACCCGCTGTGCCAAGTGCAAGCAGCTAGTCAGGGCTCAGAAATCAACGTGGTCACTCCACACACCTCGCGGCCTGGACCTTCAGAGTGGTCAGCAGCAGCTCCCTGCACAGCGGGCGGTGGGGACGGACCCCGCCCCGCCCGGGGGGCTCAGCTGGGGCCGCAGGGCCACACCAGCGAGCCCGAGCGGCGGGATGCGCTGGGGGAGCTTGGCCCAAAGCCCGGGTGATGCGAGGGACCCCAGTTCCGCCTGCCCGACACTGCGTCCCGTCCACCTTCCCACCACGGTGAGTTTCACGCAAGACAATTAAAGTCGAGGCGCGTGTGAACGCCCTGGAGCCCGGAACCCGCTCCCGCCCAGGCTCCCCGCGAGCGTCAAGAACCCCGAGGCGCCCCCGCCCCGCCCCCCCCACCGGCCCCGACCTCCCGGCTCCCGGGCCCGCGCCAACCCTTGTTCCTCAGCTCCTCGAGAGAGGACGCGGCCACGCCGTACTGTTCGCGGCTGTGGTTGCGGAGCAGCAGACACGGCTTCAGATCCCGGATCTCGTCGGGTTCCGGATCCCCGGCGTCCCCCGCCATCTCCATTCTCCTCAAGGTGGGCCCCGAGGCCTCCGGAAGCGCGAAGGCTCGGGGCGGGCGCCCCGCCGTCACGCGCGGCATGCCGGGAGACGTAGTTCTCTCCGCAGCGAATCACTCGTGGGACCGAGGCACTCTGGGAGATGTAGTTCTAGGTGCCGCTATCACGTGTCATGCCGCGGCATGCCGGGAGTTGTAGTCTCTGGGACCAAAGCCGGCTTCTTTGCAAGGCACAGTTCAGCCCAGGAATTTTTTTCTACCTTGTATTTAGGAGTGGCAATCTTCAAAAGGAGGTCAATCTAGATTTATTTTACTCTAGGAAGGACTCTTGAATTGTTAAAGCGCTCTTGTTGGCATATATAGATGCATAATATTCACACTAAAGTATAATTGTCATTGTCCTGAGTTAATTGACTTTCCCTTTCCAAGTAAGGTATCCCAGATCTGAAGAAAGGCAATTTTAAAATTTGATGAGTGTAGTTTTCAGTCTTATTGGAAATGTAACAAAGAAAGATAAGATACTTGCACATTTCAATCCATTCCATTCCCTGCTTCAGTTGTGCAATTGGGCTGAAACCTCGTAAGAAAATGCTTAAATAAATAGATTAAATTTAAGGCCTTAAGGAAATTAGAGAGGAGAAGAGAAATACAAACCACATCTCTGTTTGAGATTCGCCATATGCTGCTAGACAATATATTCATCATTTTTCTTAAAAAGCTCTTTTTGAAAAGTCTCTCTCCCCTCACTAATAAAAGAACATTTAAGATTAAAACAATAAAAAAATTATCAAGAAGCTTCCTCGCATAAAGGGGGGCATGTTACGTTAAAAAAAGTGTTAGTTAATATTCATGCAGGATCAGTGCCTTTCATATTTTGTTTAGAAAGGAAAATCAGATATGATCTCATTTTTAAAAGGGTAGGCATTTAAAATAGTGTTTGAATATTCCATAATTGATCAAAACACGTACAATATGAACTGACAGTTCTAACCTATGCAAATCTTTCACGCAATTTCACATTTAGCTTAAAAATCTCAGTCGCTTCCATGGTTCACAGAAGCTCTTCCTCCGCCCAAAGCCCCTTCTGTGTTTTCCCAATAAACTTTGCACTGCTGTTAGACTCTTCCCATGATGCTGCAGTGTGTGTGTGTGTGTGTGTGTGTGTGGTGTGTGTGTTGTGGACACACACACCTGGACTTGGATCTTTGTATTTCTATTTGGCAATCGAAGTGTCTGGCAAATAGACAACAAATAGTGCTGAACTGAACCATGCATTTCTAAGATTCTCCTCATTTATTCGACACTGCAGAGATTGATTTCAACAAGAATAAGACACATTCGAGCAGACTTCGGACCTTCCCGGGAAGCAGAGCCCTCATGGAAATCCTGCCAAGCGACCGAGGCACCGGCTGCTCCGGCCGCCTTCAGAGGCTCCCATCGACAGGCTCCGCTCGACTACATTGGTCTGGACGGGAGAGCGAGAGGGGCGCTTGGGAGACGCCTTGCCCATCGGCGATAGATTAGTCAGGCCTCAGAAAGATGGCGTCCTCGGAACAGGCTGAGCAGCAGAACCAGGTATGGGGAGCGGGACTGCCCCGCCGCGGTGGCGGGGACCCCGGCTGGAGGGGGCACCAGGGGCGCGTCTGGGAGTCAGGTGGGGACCCCGAGCCTCCGAAACAGGAGCCCAGACTTCTTGTCCCCTTGCGAGACCCGCCCCTCCCCAGGTCCTCGGCGCCTGGCCCCTCCCTTGGTGACCCCTCTTTGACCACATTCCCGAGCCCGGACTCCCGGGCTCGGCGGCGCCCGCAGGACCCCACTTCCCACTTGCCGACTCCTGGCCTCTTACTTGAGCTTGGTGGGGACGGTGGCGGGACCCTCGAGAAGCCCCCAACCTTGAGCTTCAAAGGCCCTGGTTTGAGGAAGGGGGTGAGAGTCTCGGGCGTTCCCCGCTGCCCCGTCTGGGGAGGGGCCCGGCTCCATCAGGTTCCCACTGCCCCAGCCCTAGCCTCAGCCTCCCGGGGTGGCTCCACTGCCAGCCTCTGCGTCTTTAGTTACCTATTCTCTTTCCCGGCCAAGTTGGAGGGTAGGCGTGTAGTCGGACCCTCTCAGTGCGTGGGTAGGAAGGGGACTCAGTGTAACAACAGAGCCCACCACGCTTTTGGTGGAGGTGCCCTCTTTGCTTCCCAGAGTTGGGTTTTCTCGGCCAAGGGCTTTGCTCTAGCTTTTCTGCTACAGATTCAGCCCCGACATTGTAAATCACGGGAAATAATTCTGCCGATTCTGGCCTCCTCTCTGTCTGCAGTTCTGGAGTAAGGAGGGACCCTCCTTTCTTGTTCTCCCCCACCTAGCTTATTGAGATGCTGAGGCTCCTCAGAGTCTGGGCCCTCAAGGACCAGGGCTCATGCCTGCACGTGTGTCTGCTGTCAGGAAGCAGTGGATGCTAGAGGCGGAGAGGGGGTCCAAAGGTGGGGTGAGGTGAGAGAGAAGGGGGTAAGAGGTACCTTATGTTTGCTGTGTGTGACATTATGCATGGGATAAATCACCATTATGTCTTTTAATGCTCCCTGGGTCTTTATGAAGTACTGGGGCATAACTGCTGTTTCTCCCAAGTGGATCTGAGGATCTGTAACACACCCGTTAGTGTGTCTGGCAGAATCTGAATTTGAATCCAGGTGTGTGTGTGTGACTCCGCTAGTCAGCAGGTGTGTTTAAATTTAGTTAGGATTAGGCAGAGGAAGAAGAAAGTGTTTTCAACCTGGACTTCACCCCCTCACCTCCCTCAGACACCTGTAGGACTTTTCAGCTGCCTACTGATACTTTGCTTTTTTTCTAGGCAGAAGACCACTGCTTAGTGATTCTGACTGTTTTATTCTTCATCATAAGTCTTTTACAGGAATTGCATTCAGAGGAGTTGTGTGTTCCACAGACCAGCTTCCGTTAGCTATGTGAATGACTCAGAAAGAAGATGTCTGGATTGTAAATCACGGGGAATAACTCTGCTGACTCTGGCCTTCTCACTGTCTGCAGTTTGGGAGTGAGGAGGGACCCTCCTTTCTTGTTCTCCCCCACTTAGCTTGCCGAGATGCTGAGGCTCCTCAGAGTCTGGGTCTTTCTGAACTGTTAGGCATGCCCTCGAGCTGGAATTAAAGGGTGCCTTCAGTCCCTGATTCTTCTAGGACATATAATTTGAAAGTGCTGTGGAGAGTACTGAAAATCTTGGCACTGTGAGCCAGTGGTTCTGGAAGTTGACCTCTCTGTACACGTGGGAAGGATCTGAGGTCTTTTAAGGGGGCTTGGTCAGCATTTGTTTGGTTTTCAGTTCTGCTGCTCCTTTGCCCTCCTTTCCAAAGTTGGTAGAGATGGGATTGCGTCAGAATGCACTGGCAACTGGAGAAAATGTCAACTCTTTGTGCCAAATTCTGTCACTGACTAACAGAAAGTTTCATGTGCACACCTTTGAGGTGAAACAGCTCCTCTTCATTGCTTGTCATTTCATTTTCAAGTCCTGGTTGGGAACCTGGTTCCCATTTCTCCAGTCAAAGCAGAATGAAAGAACTGTGGGCATAATTCCCCCAAACCTGGTGTGTGTGTGAGAAACTCCGTGTTAAACCTGTAGAGCTGAGCCAGTGTTCTGCCTCAGAAAGTCTGTTAGTTGGCCTGGTGGCATTCTCTCTCATGTCGAAAGACTCAGGGTGAGTGACTAACCCTTTTTCCCTTGGAGATGCAATGTAGAGCAGAGGACAAACTGGCCTAGACGCCCAGCCCCGCTGCTTACTAGTATTGTGACCTTGGACAAGTTACTCCTGTGGTTTAGACCTGTCATCTGTAAAACAGGAATTAAACTAGCATGTCTCGCACAGGGTTGCTGTGTGAGGATTGAATAAGTCAACTTATTTTCAAACAGTGCCTGGCATCCTGTGTTATCTGCTGTTTGTTCCATAAACTCTGGATTTTCGCTCACAAGCTACACTTTTTCTTAGGCCCCCTTATAACACCTTTCGGGTTATGAATTTTCAAATGTTGACTGCCGGCTCACTAAAGTTCTTTGATTTGTCCTGAACTAATTTCTTTGAAATTTGGTGAAGGAACACCTTAAGTGTAGAGCTCATCATGGCTGTCCCTTATGACTAATAGATTTTCAAAATGATGTATATTCTTTTTAGTCTATTTTAAAGACCGTCTGTTGGAATTCCAATTATTTCTTCATATTCTTGTCCTTTTTTATTCCACATTACTGTTTTGTGTGGCCAACTTCTCAACTTCTAGTCTATATTGTTCTGGCCCACAGGAAGTGTTGCCCCAGTATCTCCATTTTTCCCACCAGCTTCTCTGTCCTCAGTGTTGAGCAGAGGCGTGGTTCAATCTGATTGTCTAAACAGTTATTGAATATCAAGTATTATTATCTTTTTTTAATAAGATTTATTTATGCATACAAGAACTGGGGTACAGGCCAGAGGTGTGGGGGTGAGAGGATTTACCAGAGACAGAGCGGGGAACAGAACCGGCAGATTGACTGAAATACACTGCTGAGGGGAGCAGTGGGCGGGTCAGAAGAGGTCTGCTGGCCCCATGGGTAGCTCCCTGGCCGGTATCGAACTCGTGCTGCAGAGGCTGCAGATAGCTTCATAGTTCTGTGCTTAACCCCTTGCGCCACCAGGGAGGCTTGGAGTATTATTATCTAATGTAGATTTCAGGTTTTACAGTTTATTGGATATGGATTTTGTATTGAGAAAACACAGGAGGAGGGGTGTTTGAAGAGGACAGTGAGGCTATTACGGTGGAGGGGCATGCAGACAGAATTGGGATTGAATTCCAGCACTCACCATTGAACTTGCCACTTCTCCCAGACTCAGTTTTCTCCTCTGTAAAATGGACGTAGTCGGAGCCCTCCTAGGGGGTTCCTGTGAGCGTCGACTGAAATCAAAGATGTTAAGAGCATCTGTGCGTAGTAAATGCTCAGTGGGTGTTAGTTTCCTTTTCCAAGTCACTACGTGCAATTTTGAAAGTCTGTTGAACTCTTAGAATAACAGTAGCTCAAACAAGATATTTTCCCCCCTCAATTTTTTTTTTTTTAAAGATTTATTTATTCATGCATACAAGAACCAGGGTATAGGCCAGATGCACGGGAGGGTGAGAGGATTCACCAGAGACGGAGAGGGAGGCAGAACAGGCAGAATGACCGAAATATACTGCTGAGGGGAGCAGCAGGCAAGACAGGAGAGGTCTGCCGCGCCATATGGGACCTTCTCCGGCCCGCTGGGATCAAACCTGCACTTTAGAGGCTGAGGACAGCTTCACAGGGCTGCGCTCAACTGCCTGTGCCACCAGGGGAGGGCCCCCCCCCAACTTTTTATTTTGAAAAATTCCCAACCTATAGAAAAGAGAAGTATAAAACTTCCAGAAGCGGGCCTCCCCGTTGGCGCAGCGGTTGAGCGCTGGGTTGCGAAGCTGCTCGCAGCCTCTGCAGCGCCGGTTCGATCCCCAGCTGCTCCCCGGTCACTGGAGGAGGGTCCCACATGGCGCGCAGACCTCTCCTGCCGCCCGCTGCTCCCCTCAGCAGTGTACTTCGGTCCTTCTGCCTGCTCTGCTCCCCGCTCTGGTGAATTCTGTCACCCTCCCGCGCTTCTGACTGTGCCCAGTGCTTGTATGTATCAATCAGTCAATCAATAAATTTAAAAAAAAAAAAAAAAACACTTTAAAAAAAAAAAAAAAAAACTTCCAGAAGCACTTCATGTGCTGAATTTGCTTTGTTCTGGTCTATATGTCTTGTGGGGGAAGGATTTGAAGTAAGTTATAAATATTGTGGTATTTCGGGCCTCCCCGGTGGCGCAGCGGTTGAGCGCTGGGTTGCGAAGCTGCCCGCAGCCTCTGCGGCGCCGGTTCGATCCCCGGCTGCTCCCCGGCCACGGAGGAGGGTCCCACATGGCGCGCAGACCTCTCCTGCCGCCCGCTGCTCCCCTCAGCAGTGTGCTTCGGTCCTTCTGCCTGCTCTGCTCCCCGCTCTGGCTCTAGTGAATTCTCTCACCCTCCCGCGCTTCTGACTGTACCCAGTGCATGTATAAACAAAAAAAAACAAAGAAGGAAAGAAAGAAAAGAAAAACATGCCTCTATATAAAAATAAAAATAAAAAAAAATACAAATAAAAAAAAATACATATAAAAAAAAAAAAAAAAAAAAATAAATATTGTGGTATTTCACTTGCCTCCCGTAAAAGTAAGATTATTCTCCTGCATACCAGAATAGCGTTGTCACACAAGAGGTTTAGTGTTGATCAAATAGTATTATTTAATAATACAGCCCACATTCAGATTTCCCGAGTAAAACAATCAGAATCCAATCAAGAAATAGGGATTGCATTGATTTGTCTCCTTAGTCTGCTTTAACCTAGAGTAATTCCCTAGTTTGAAAACATTTTTAAACAACTTTTTGCTCAAGTTTAACATGCACCCAGGAAGTACATGAATTAAGGGTTCAGCTTGGTGAATTTTCACAAAGTGAACACACTTGCGTAATGAATATTCAGGTCAAGAAATCAAATATTTCTCCAGCCTCAGGAGCCCCCCCTCATGTCCCTC